GCCATTGAACTTCTTCGGCCTCGCGAAACTTCTGGTGGGCCTCCTCCGGAATCTCCGACCATTTCAACTCCTTCTCTTTGCGTTGTTCAACGCCGCGTCTCGTGAGGTCACTCCGGAGCATCCACACCTCGCTGTCCCTCTGACCCATCTCGCTGGGGTTAGTCTTGCGCTTGAGGCGTCTCAGGGGCGGCCTGAGATCATCTTCCGCCATCGGCTCCAGGATTGGGGCCTCGCCTTCGCCTTCCTCGAAGTTCATCTCGATCGGTTCGTAGTCCACCGAGACGTCATCGACGGGGTCGTAGGGCATGTCCTCGTCCTCTTCGTCCTCGAAAACGTCCGGGTCATCGGGGTCGTACTCAAGGAGCTTCTCGACCTCGTCGCGGGTGTTTTTCATGGTAAGAAAGGACCCCACTTCCTCAGGTGTTGTTGGGCGCACATGCTCCGGAGAAGTCAATCGGCATCGGCCGCCCTTTGAAAGCCAGTAGTTGCCTCCTTCCTTACCCACGATGACCGCGGGGCCTGACCATTCGCCTTTGCGCCGGTTCTTCGGCTTGAACCAGAAGTGGACCGTCTCTCCAATCTCGTACGGCCGCGAAGCCACCCTCGTTCTCTGGAGCAACGCCTTTTGAAGGCGCTGATCAACTTGACTCTTGTGGAAGGCTACGCGCGCAGCTGCGCGCATGGCTGCTTGCCTCTGGAACTTTGCATCCTGGGTGACATCCCAGACCAGTTCTTCTCCTCCATCAGGATCGCGTAGGTCTTCGGGTAGCCGTGGGGCCTTCCCGAACACCCATTGGGAAGGGCTGTAGCCGCACTTGCGGCGAAGGTCGTTCTTCGCGCTGTTGATGGTCGAAGTAGCCAAGTCGACCTCGCCCTCGCCCACGCTCATCTGGTAGGTCACCCTCTCCCATATTGACTTCCACCAAGCCTGCTGTCGCTCAACCATTCCGGCCTGCCAATGACTCTGCGTCGCCACATTCCTGATCCCGATGTTGTGCCAATCGCAAAGCCTTGCGAGGGCGGCCTGAGGACCTCCTTCGAGGTCGACGACGACAGTCTTCGGCGGGCCGAACGGCAGAACCCAAATCTCGTTGAACTTGGCCTCGATGTCATCAGCGCTGTGGCCATCAAGCCTGGCAGCCAGGTGGTACGTTGTGCCGTAGTCCACGACCGACAGGAAGGTGTGCTTCCGGTCGTTGATATCGTGCGCAAAGAAGAGGTCGATCCCAAGGGTGTCGTTCCAGTCATGTAGAACCGGAACGGTGCTGGGGCGGGCCACCTTTGGCCCTGCGCTCGCTTCGCATACTTGACATCGCATCGATCGTGCTGCTTTCAGCACAGGAGCTTCGCATCCAGCAAGCCGAAGATGCCTGACAAAGTCGTGCAGTTGGGGATGGCCTAAGTTCTGATGGAGTCGGCGCAAGGCGGTTGCGACCCTTCCAGGTGTCTCCTTGGAAAACGTGATGCCACCGGCCCCGAGGACCGGGATTTCGCTTCCAGGGCCATCGCCATCGCCAACACCGACCACACAAACTTCGTGAGGTCGGTCCTCTCTTGCAACGACAACACCATCGGGGCTGCTCTTAAAGAGGACGAGGAAGAACTTCCCGTCCTTTCCTTGGAAGAACTGGGTGTGCTCCTTCCGAATTTTGTCGAAGCGGCTGTTGTAGAGGATGTCGTCGCTGAGCTGGCCGTCAAGGACGACGGTCCCGTTCTCATCGAGCTGCTGCTGTATGAGCTCGATAAGCGCCTCGTCGCACTGGGCTCCCTTTCCTTCCAGGTGTAGTCGTAGCTCGTGTGGTGCCCCGCCATTGATGATGTGGTACGCGGTCTCCTTGCCTTCGGGAGAACGATATGTCTCCCAACTCATCGGCTCGAAGACATCCTTTGAGAGGGCGACCGCCTAGCACAGATGAAGCTGGCCATCATTACGCTGATCCGCGCGGCATTGTTGAACAGGGCCTTCCGGGTGCTCCTCTTAGGTCGCTGCTTCTCGTCCGTGTTGAAACGAACTGCCCCATTGGTCTTGGGCAGCGGAAAGCCGCAGTTCTTGAGGTAGTTCTTCATGCCGGGGGAAACCTTCGGGAAGTTCCTCGTGGAATGGTACGTGAGGGTCCATCGGTCGCCGGTCCAGGGCTCCGTAGCATGCTTGAGGAAGGGGTCAAACTCCAGGAACCGTCCTTTGGTGTCGCAGATCCGCCCCGGGAGCCAGTGTCCGGTGCCGGCTCGCCTCCACCTAACGTCGCTCCCAATGTCGCCCTCTTCCACCGCCCGGTCTTCTAACCACAGCTCACCTCCAGCTCGCTGCCCGAGTGAGATCGTGTAGTTCCGGCTGCCCTTGAGGTTGTGGAAGTCGTGGTGCACCTGGGTGCCTGCATTGCGCGCAACAGTGACCGACGTCCACGTGGCGTCCTTTCCAAGGCGGCGCCTGGCAAACTCATTCAGATAGCGAACCATAGACCCGCACAGCTTGGTGTTGGTGGTAATGCCAAAAGTCCCACCATGGGAGTACAGCCCGAGTGTCCGATACTGCATTCGGGCGCCCTGCTCCCCAAAAACCTCATCTCTCGTGGTCTTCACCTTGGGGAACTCGATGCCGTCGAGTAGCTTCTCGAGAGTAGCCTCCGTGTAGTCGCAGTCCGCAATGGCCTGAACGAAGTGGTCCTCGGTAGGATGGGGACTGGGGCCGCAAGCGTAGTTCCGGTGGTGCTCCCGCTGGCCGTCAAGGAGCTCCTTCTCGGTGATGAAAACATCATGCTGGGTGGTGTAATCATCTCTCGCGCAGCAAGACTTGGGATGCTCGATGGGCTTACCTCCAAAATGGCCGCCACCAGCATCAAACTGAACCCTCCGCTCAGGTAGAAGAGCACTAGGAAGACCTTGGCGTCGGCTCGGAGGCTCCTCGCGCTGAGGAGAGGGCTCGCGTAGATCGTGTACAGGTAGATGATCTCGGAGCCGATCGCCAAGAGTGCTCTGCTTCGTCCCGCATTGCTCATAGCTGCCACCGGGGGCGGGATGCCCAGGGGACAGTTCCCCACCATCGTCTACTTCTTTGGCGTTGCGGGGGCTGCCTTCGCCTTGTCCTTCAAGACAGCCAACCGTGCCTCCAGTTGTTGAATCTCCTCCAGCGTGCGGGGGTCGATCTCGGCGTCCATCTCCTCGTGGGATCCCGTGCTCGGTGACGTGCGCTTGTGCACCTTCGGCGGAATCGGATACCCCTCGCGGCCCGGGTTGTAGCCGAGCATCCACTCCTCCGCATGCGGGTTCCAAGGGGACCCTCGTGCCTTTGGTGGGATCGGCTTGGCCTCCTTCTCGGGGCTGTATCCCACTTTGGATCCGCTCCATTTCGAGCTCTGCGCTTCGCTCACCGTCTCGTTCTCCGGCTGGTAGGGCACGGTCGCATTCTCCTCGAAGGTGACGCTGGTGCCGTAGTGGGTCTCGTGCTCCTTGTTCTCCCACCACTGAGCGAAGCGCACCAACTCCGGATGGGGGTTCCCGCTCATGCGGATCTCCCTTGCTGCCCACATCCCGTATTGCCGAGGAATCTCGCCATACTCCCAGCCGGTGTAGCGCCCGATCTTCATCAGCTCTGTGGCCGGGGTGGCCACATGATCTCGTACCAGCCTTAGGAGGTTCCCTTTGGTGATCTTCGCAGGGTAGAGCACACCGAGCTCGTCGGCCTTCATCTTGAGCTCCGGCAAGGTCAAATTCGTGATGGACTTCATCTGGTAGGAGGGGGACGTCGTCGAGCTGGCCATGCGGTGCTCTTGGATCACCGCTTTGATCTCCTCTACCGACCAATTGCGATGTACCACCAGGCCCACTCGCGTGCACTCCTCCAACAGCTGCACCTTCGTCATCTTGGAGATGGCCGGCGGCTTGCATGGCGCATCCATGCCCTCGAAGAGGATGGGCGGGAGAAGGTAGTGGCGAGCTACAAGGTCGCTTAGCAAAAGTGCTTCTGCCAATCCACAGGATCTCGAAGCTCTGATCGCCGCCTTTACGACTCCACCTATCCACATTGATCTCGAGAGGCTTCCCGTTCTTACAGCAGAATCCCTCAGTGATGCGGACCTCACTAATAGACTCTAGAAGCATGTCTTTCTGCACAGTGGACTGAGTCTTCCATGTGTAGGGATTGCAAAGCGCTCTCCGGGGGGTGACATGAATCCTATGCCATGCAAATTCGCTCTCCAACCAAAAATCGGTAGTGATCTTGGTGTTCTCCCACCATGACACGAAAGATGTAGCCTGTAGCTGGTCTTGAATAAGAAGTTCACGCACAGCAGGATTTAGCTTCTTGTCATAGAAGATCCTAAACTTGGTTCCCCAATGCTGCTTAGACCGGCCTTCATCTTGACGATCAGAAGTCGTAGAAGTAGTAGACGTGGTGGAGGGCCTGTCGGACCTTGTGGCGTAGTCTGGGATCTCGGGGTCTGTAGAAGTAGATGTAGTAGCCCTGGGGTCGTCGTAGAGGTCGAGGTGAGGGGTCTTAGGGCACGCAACTGCAAACGCCATGTATGCACGAGCAATCGAGGCTGCTGAGTCCGAAATGACGAGCTTTGCGCCGTCGTCTTCTGACCTAGGCGGGGCTATCGGTATGGCAGGGTGACCAGAAGAGGTAGTCACCAGATCGAAGTTCGCCAATCCAACCTTGTTGAAGCTGGCACGGTTGGCGGCAACATCATACACCATCCCAAGCTGGGCCAGTGCCCCCTTCGACAAAAGGAGCGGGATGTCGCCATTGATGATTGACGTCTTCATTTCAACCACCTTATCCCCGAGCTTGAACTTCACGAGGACGTAGAAGGCAGAGTGATGCACCTTGCCCGTGCCAAACTTGAACGCCTCGGATTCCCTCACAAACTCAGGTTTCCCCAGCGAGTCCTTCACAAGGTCGCTGTAGCTCTGGAGCCAAGTCGTGCCTGCGACCGACTTAGCGCAAGCAGTGTCCGTGATACCGACAAGGATGGGCCCGTCGTGCCTGAGCGCATAGACCTCGGAGGGCACGTGATGGCACATCTCGACCTCCTTGGCTCCTCGGTTGGGGCACTCTGGGTCTTTGTGCCAATGACCCTTCTTGCCGCAGCTCATGCAGTACGATCTCGCCTTCATCAGCTTGATCTTGTCGTCGCGCGAAGTACTCGCGCCGTTCCCAGGGCCCTTGTCTCTGCCGGCATTCGGTCCTCCGCGATCTCCATGGTAACCGCGAGCTTTCGCCTGCTCGCGATACTTGTCTTTCGCGCTCTGGTAGGTGGCGTACGCAACCGCCACCTCCTCTGGAATGCCCTCCTCGCCCTCGGAGTGCTCGAAGGCGTCATCGCGGTCCTCGCCAGCATCATCGCCGTCCGCGTCTTCGGTGAGGTGGGCTGTGTAGGGCCGCTTTGCTTTGGATTCCCATGGTTTTCTGTGGCTCCTATCATGTAGCACAGCAGCTTGTTGAAGCTTGAGGAGGTTGTACTGGTTCCCGACACTGGCAAGTAGGTTAAGCTCTTGTGGTTCGTCTAGTTGTAGTCGGTCTACATATAGCCATGCAGCGCACTCTTGCGGCAAGCAGCATCCGACTTCTCGAAGACGAGCGTGTAGCCTGTCATACTCGCTGTTGTACTCCCGGATGCTTTGTCCATTGCGCCGTCTAAGCTTTCTGAAGAAGTCACTGAATGCTCTCCCGATTCGTGCAACCTCAAGATCCAGAAACCTTGCATTCAGCCATGCCACGAAGTACTCCACACCACCACTGGAACCCAATCGGCTAACCGAAAGCTCCTCAGCTGCAACCCAAGCCTTGCCCGTCAGGTTCTGATAGAGCACGAGTCCCTGCTGGCTCTCTGGCAGGTACGTCATTCTCCGCCAGGCCTCGATCTGCCTGAGATAGCTCCGGGTGGAGCCCCCCAGGTCCTCGGAGTCCTCGCCGGCGAAGCTTGGGATCGCCAGCTTCTCAGAGGCCCTTCCGGTACCGTTCGTAGCCCGGCCGGGAAGAGGAGTGCTCGCCTGAAAACCCCCGTTGTCGAAGTAGGACCAACCGCTCCAGGCCTGTCCTGTTTCGTCCACTCCATTGCTCCATCGTCCGCGATGATGGTCTCCAGGATCGCCACCTTGAGTTCCGCTAGCTCGACCATCCGCCGCGGGAGGTTGATGCGGTCCACGCCAACCTCGGTCGCCATGAAGTCGTCGCCACCCATCGTGGTGGTCGCTCTGCGACCAGGGGTCCCTGCCGTCGCTCCAGGGATCGTCTGGTCTCCAGTGTCCACCGCGATAAGACTCTTCAGCGGTAGAAGATTCCCAGCTGCCGCGTCGATCGTGGTCGCCGTGCTGGTAGCCTTTCTCCCAGCGACCAGCTTTATCCCAACCATTTCCCCATGATTGGGCGGGCCGGTCGCCCCCTTGGCTCTGCCAACGGTCACTCCATTCACGAGTGTTGTCGACAGCATGTCGTTGATCAAGTAAAGAACTGTGTGCATCGGAGTCTGGCAAACTAGTCGACTGCCTGCTTGGGCGGTGTCCAAACACAGGCGGAGGCGGCAACTCGGGTGCCGCAGGATGGGCGTCGCCAACATCAAAACCAGGAGGTGGGCCGAGGCCGTCTACTTGTCCACTGTCACGAAGCGAGGCATACTGCTGCCCATCGGCCGACATAGCACTAGGACCTACAGGAGCCGAGGCTCCGCTACCAATGTGAAAC